AAAATTGTATATATACATATATTTTCATTCCCCTCTCTCCCCTCTCCCAGATCTCGCTCTCTCACCCGCCTCTCTCACTTTATACAAAAAACGCAAATTGTATAAAATGTGTTTGTGTTTGTATAAAATGAGAGAAAATTGTATATATACATATATTTTCGTTCCCCTCTCTCTCCTCTCCTAGATATCGCTAATCACTCTCCCAAATCTTGTTCTCTCACTCGCCTCTCTCACTTTATACAAAAACGCAAATGTATAAAATGTGTGAAAATTGTATATATACATATATTTTCGTACCCCTCTCTCCCCTCTCCCAGATCTCGCTCACTCACTCGCCTCTCTCACTTTATACAATTGATCTTTTTGTATATGTATACCAAAGCAGATTATACAACTGCTTTCTTTTGTATATGTATAGCGAAATATATATATTTATGTTTGCTATGGAGCGCAATTATGCAAACTTTGCTATAACATACAAATATGAATTTTATGTTTGCTATATGTGAAAGTTGTTCTTTTTAAATAGAGAGATTTTCAGAAATAGCAAACATGATATACATAATAAGACTCTATAGTTATATTTTCGATAATTACACTTCATAGCTATAGTTTCTTTTGCTAAGGAGGTTGCGGTTGTTTACTTCTGTCTATTTGTATATTTCGCTTGTGAATATACAAAATAGGGCAAGTATATACAAATTTTGTATTTGTCCATTTAGGCATTTTTCAGAATTCTGTTTGTATATTTCGCTTGTCAATATACAAATAGGGTAATTTATCTTCATTAATCGTATACAAATAGCAAGGTAAGCATATATACAAAATTCTGAATTTATACAATCAGTAACCGAATTATATAAATTCTGAATTTATACAAATCAGACAAATTACATAAATCAGGCGAATAGCAAAGATTCAGCGAAACTATAATGGCGAATTAGAAATTCTCTAAAGTAGCTATAACATTTAATATGGTTTGAATGTTTACTATTCTGCACAATTTTCCCTTTTAAATATATATTTACTATAAAAAAAGATTTTTCTAAGAACAATTTTGGATCAAATTATTAACTGATGATATTTTATTTAATTTCTCATAGTTTAGATATTTTTGATCTTTTTATATTTTTTTTTAAAGAAATAAATATAAGATACGTTTTGCCCATTTTTTTTCTTCCAATAGTTGATTGGAACCACAAAATTTGAAGAATATTCACAAGTAGTACGTGGCAGCGCGTATGTGGAAGTCGGTTTTGGGGGCCCATAAAGCGAGTGGTTAGTTTAAACAAAAGACCTATTCCCCCCAATGAAATAGGAAAAAAAAAGAACATTCTAGAATAAATAACCCCACTCCATTTATACCCCTCTCTTCCCTCTCTTCAAACCCTAAAATCAGTTTTTACTCCATTCACTCTCTTCTTCTCTCTACCGCCGCCGTTGTCGTCTAGCATTCTTTTATACATTTTTTTTTATTTTTTTCCGTCGTCATGGCCGGGAAAGGTGAAGGTCCGGCGATTGGTATAGATCTAGGAACTACTTACTCTTGCGTCGGAGTTTGGCAGCATGATCGTGTTGAGATTATTGCCAATGACCAAGGGAACAGGACGACTCCTTCTTACGTTGGTTTTACTGATTCTGAGCGTCTCATTGGTGATGCTGCTAAGAATCAAGTCGCCATGAATCCTATTAACACTGTGTTTGGTAAGTTTTTACGTTTCAGATCTGTTATTTAAATCTAACATTTTTTTGTTTTTTAAACTACTGTTGTTGTTGATTAATAGTAGAGCTATTGTTTTGAACTAATGCTGATGCGATTTGTGTGTATCTGGATTTTTTTTTGCTGGAGTTGTAGTCATGGAGTTTGTTTGGTTGGCTTTACTTATATTATTATATCTGTTGGAAGCACCTATCAATCTATATATGTCATAGATCTCGTTTGATGTAGGTGACTGTTCTAGAATTGTTTTAGATCTGAATTGTTGATATACGAGTTTGAGCCAGTGGTAGACAAGTACCACTAGATATAAATACATGAAATCGAGTTGACTTCTATGGATGCAGCTACATGTTTTAATGGTAATTTCATGATCATGTTTGCGTGACATTGCTATAGGGTGTTCCATCTAAACATATTATCATTATTATGACTTTATAATCTACTAGTTGTTTAATTGTATTCATTAATATTTGTTATGCTATTGACCTTTTCAATTCCTGAATCTGAATGTGCTGTTCGTGTTGTGTGTATGTGAATATAAATATTTGATTTAATAATGCTTACTGGGTTTTTACAATGGCAGATGCCAAACGTCTTATTGGAAGGAGGTTCAGTGATGCCTCTGTACAGAGTGACATCAAATTGTGGCCTTTTAAGGTTACTCCTGGACCTGGTGACAAGCCAATGATTGTGGTTAACTACAAGGGAGAAGAGAAACAGTTTTCTGCTGAAGAAATCTCTTCCATGGTTCTTATTAAGATGAAGGAAATTGCTGAGGCCTTCCTTGGGTCAACAGTGAAAAATGCTGTGGTTACTGTGCCTGCATACTTCAATGACTCACAACGTCAGGCTACTAAGGACGCTGGTGTCATATCTGGCTTGAATGTCATGCGTATTATTAATGAGCCCACAGCAGCTGCCATTGCCTATGGTCTTGACAAAAAGGCCACTAGTGTTGGTGAGAAGAATGTTCTTATCTTTGATCTTGGTGGTGGTACCTTCGATGTGTCCCTCCTCACTATTGAAGAGGGTATCTTTGAGGTGAAAGCCACAGCAGGAGACACTCACCTTGGTGGTGAAGATTTTGATAACAGAATGGTGAACCACTTTGTCCAGGAATTTAAAAGAAAGCACAAGAAGGATATCACCGGTAACCCAAGGGCCCTTAGAAGATTGAGGACAGCTTGTGAAAGAGCGAAGAGAACTCTTTCCTCCACTGCCCAGACAACAATCGAAATTGATTCCCTATATGAGGGAGTTGACTTCTATTCAACCATCACTCGTGCCAGATTTGAGGAGTTAAACATGGATCTTTTCAGGAAGTGTATGGAGCCTGTTGAAAAGTGTTTGAGGGATGCCAAGATGGACAAGAGCACTGTACATGAAGTTGTTCTTGTTGGTGGTTCCACCAGAATTCCCAAGGTACAACAGCTGTTGCAAGACTTCTTTAATGGGAAGGAGCTTTGCAAGAGTATCAACCCAGATGAGGCTGTTGCCTATGGTGCTGCTGTTCAAGCTGCCATTCTGAGTGGAGAGGGTAATGAGAAGGTACAAGACTTGTTGCTTTTGGATGTCACCCCTCTATCTCTTGGGTTGGAAACTGCTGGAGGAGTCATGACTGTCTTGATTCCAAGGAATACGACCATTCCTACCAAGAAAGAGCAGGTGTTTTCTACCTATTCTGACAACCAGCCTGGAGTGTTGATTCAGGTTTATGAGGGTGAGAGAGCAAGGACCAGAGACAACAACTTGTTGGGTAAATTTGAGCTCTCTGGTATTCCTCCTGCTCCTAGGGGTGTGCCTCAGATAACAGTCTGCTTTGACATTGATGCCAATGGCATCTTGAACGTTTCAGCTGAAGACAAGACGACTGGACAGAAGAACAAGATCACTATTACCAATGACAAGGGTAGGTTATCAAAGGAAGAAATTGAGAAGATGGTCCAGGAAGCAGAGAGGTACAAGGCAGAGGATGAGGAGCACAAGAAAAAGGTGGAGGCCAAGAATGCACTTGAGAACTACGCCTACAACATGAGGAACACTATAAAGGATGATAAGATTAGTTCTAAGCTTAGCGCAGAAGACAAGAAAAAGATTGAGGATGCCATTGATCAGGCAATTTCATGGCTTGATAGCAACCAGCTTGCTGAAGCTGATGAGTTTGAAGATAAGATGAAGGAACTGGAGAGCCTATGCAATCCCATAATTGCTAAGATGTACCAGGGTGCTGGTGGTGAGGCTGGTGCACCTATGGATGATGATGATGCTCCTCCAGCTGGTTCTACCGGTGCAGGCCCCAAGATTGAGGAGGTCGATTAAGTGCTAGTTTTATTTCTTAGTATAAACTATTCTATTATATTGGCTACTTTTTATGTTTTTGAACTATTCTCTATTATATTGGGTACTTTTTATGTTTTTGAACTATTCTCTATTATATTGGGTACTTTTTATGTTTTTGCTATGTTAGTTAATATTGGTTTCGTTTGTTTATTAAGCTGTTGAATATTTTCATCGTTGATGGCTCTTTCCATCGATTTTGAATTTGTTTGGAACTATTAGGCTGAAATTTTGTCTTTACAACTGGCCTACGACTTTGTATTATTGGTCTATATTTTGCAAGTTAATAGCGTAGAAAAGATATTCCAATTCTGGAATAATTAAGTTATTGAGTGTAAATGTCAATTCTGGAATAATTAGTTATTGAATGTAAATGTGATTTTCTAGAAAGATATTTGAAAAACAATTACAAGCTTATATGGGAAAGAAATAATCTGTATATAGTGTTCTTTTTTTTCATATAAAGTATAAACAAAACATTCCCGAGGACCTATTTCTAAGCGGATGATTTAATACCATAAAATTGCTCCTTGTTCCTTGGAAGGAAATAAATCATTGGTTTACTTTTCTCGAGTCACCAATCTTATTTAAAATTACGACAACAATCTAAATTTTTATGTAATGATAAATTATTCATTTGTTTTATAAAAATGAAACAAGTAATGTTGTATAGTAGACAAAGATGAGGGAGCGAGTACATTTCTAGTATGATTTTTACCACCCTAAGAGGAAATGACCCATTTTTAAGTTGTACACAAATGTGAGTTAATTTTCACTGTAAGCCAAAATAAGCAATTCCTTCTTATGTCCATTTTTGCTGGCACAAGTTTCATAAGACGAAAAGAAAGAAACAATTGATCAACTTTCTAAGGCTATCATTGGAAGATCCACAAATAAATACTGCCTTTTGAGTCTTAATTCGTGCTATTAATCAAGTAATACAGACCATCTCAGGAAAATGTTGTTCATTAAGAAGTTGGAGAAACCACCTCTGTATCTAACTTCAAAACATGCCCATCTGCAACCACACTCTCGATCCAAGTTACTTTCTTCCCCTGCTAAGCCTCTGCAGATGATAATTGATGCTACCCCAGGGCTTTCTGTTTTTGCCACTCTGCACAAAAGGTAATATGCAAATTAATCTTAATGTGAAAAGAAGAGTTGATAGCAATATGCACTATTCAAGGCACCCAAATTACCTGAGCTTCCATGCAGGTACTCAAAAGTGACTTTTGCCTGCCACATTTCTCATCCTTGTTGTGATTTAAAGTCAAACAATTTAGAAACGAGACCATTTCTTTCGCGCAAGGTTTCTGAAGACTTCCAAAGTTCCTTGGGTTAATATATAAGGTGCCAGCTTTGCGTCCCATACTTCCTCAGATCTAACAAAATATAAAGAGGACGTTGTTAGAGATGGCATTAGAGGAAATCAAATCAGCAAGTGACATCAACATGCAGAAAACTCATATAACATGACAATGTTCATGGTTTGAGACTAGCAGGAGAAACAACATTCCTGATGAAACAGAGAAGAAGAAACACTTCAACACTGTTTTGCAATCTACATTATTCCCAACTATCAAAACACTGCTAACCAGTGGGTCACAAGTTCTCAACTACAAAAGTACCCAAAGGGTCATGAGTATAGATGAATAAAAGGAGGTACATCAGTTATAACTACGAAAATGCATATTATGTTAAGCAGAACAACCAAAACTCCACTAGAATACAAGATAAGAAGTGAATATTGCAAGTTGCACCACTAGATGCTCTTCAGAGTCAGACTAGCCTTTTTCCTCATGAAATATTCAAATAATGTTTTTTTTTTTTTTTTACAGAAAGCACATTCAAACGTCACAGTGACAGTAATTTGGCCGTGAACAGTCAGATTATTGCCTTGATTGTTTCTAGAAAGGCTACAATATTTTCCTACCCTGCAAAGTTGGAAGTAAAGCTTATTTCAAGTATTTTCTGCAACAATTTTATCAAACAAAGAAATTTGGAAGAGAAGCAACAAATACTTTCATTTGACAGATGCTTGGCAGGTCATGCTTTTAACTTCGGTAACCTGATAGCTTCTGCAAATTAGCTACTACTATAGAACTTCTAGACCACTGGCTCTTTCTCATGGATGCTAGACTTTTTTCTACCTACAACAACAAACCCAGTGTAATCCCACTTGTGGTTTGGGGAGGGTGGTGTGTATGGAGTCTTACCTCTCTACCTTGTGGAGATAGAGAGGCTAGACTTTTTTCTACCTATTGTTTCTATTTTTTAGCGCATTTCTGACAAGGGTAATTATACTTTACTGGATCTACGCTTCATCGCAAGGTTTCCCACCAATGAACAGAACGGTATCCAATATCTCCACATGTTGAGGGGAGAGTGATTGTTACTTTCCAGGGGATAGAGATTTCCAAGTCAATTCGTTTGACAAGAGTGACATAGACTGGTCAGTTGCTTCCCATGAACTGTTCACCGCAAAATCATACTTATGGAAGTAAATTTCATGTTCTGCTTACAACACAACCCTCAAGGCAATACTAAGAGCTTTTTCTCATGGTAAAGGATATCGGGAGCCCATATTCTTTCTCCCGAGTTAGTCATGAAAGATTTTAGTGCCTAAAGTTTCAAATGCAAATTGTTTCAAAAGTTGAAACTCAACTCATTGCCTTTTGATTAATAGAGATTTTGAACTCTCCGAGCATGGGAGATTTTTATACATTACAAACATTCAATGACAATTAGTTCTTTTTTGATCCATGACACCAGGTAAACTAAGAGTTAACAACTCACAAGTCTAACATTAAGAGAGATCACAATGCGAGGCCTCTCATCTCCTCCATTTGCTTAGGGGTGAAACCAACTCTGTTTCCAGAACTTTTAACCAACTAACTAGATCCAATATAAGAAATAAAATCAATAATGTCAACCTATTAAAGTAGATTTTGGGAAATGATAGGTAATCTTTCTATCCCCACCAAGTAAGGTAGAATAGGTGACATTGACAAGAATAAGAAAATGAAGAACCTCCTCCTGCATTCACTTGTAAAATAAGGCAGACACAACAACTATGTCTCAATCCCAAACAAGTTCAGGTCCACTATATGAATCCTTACTTATCTATATATATATAAGCTTGAATCGTGTCATCATCATATCAGTTAGAGATAAACTGGAAAACAAGTGATATATATAATAATATTAAAAGTACTCTAACAGGACTACATCATATTCCGCACTAGTAAATGTCACCTATATGGATTTTTTTTCTTCTTTATGCCCTACCTTTAGCCAAGTCTGCATTGATCTCAAAAAAATGCAGGTCTTTCAAGACAACTTTCTCCCATGTAATTTTAAATCTGCCTTGTTCAATCTTAACACCTTTACTAACAATAGTATCACACATACAGACTGGCACATCAGTAGATCGATGCATGCAGGACATGACAAAACAATCTCAAGCGACTTTCTCTTATTCTATCCTCACTGCGTGCTACTTTCACCTTCTAGCAAATATGGTCATTTTCATCTTATCTAATTTTGTATGGCCGCACGTCCATCTTAGCATCCGCATCTCTACAACACTCATCTAGTGAATATGTTGGATTATAACATCCCAACAATCACTACCATATCACACTGCTCTTATAATTGTTCTGTAGAACTTCAATTTACTTCGGTAGCCATCCTTATATCGCATAACTACTCATTAGTCTATGATGCGAGAACCCTTTCATATTTTTACAAGTTAGGATACTAGACAATCAACAATTAACCACCACAATAACTACCTAACTGGTGCTTCAACATTACATTTGTAAAAGAGTTGGATTGATAACTTAAAAGGATTATTTCCAGCAAGACATATCCTTTAAGGTTGGCAGTTCTATGGTATTTTGGAAAGATAAATGGCTTGGTGACTCCACTTTGTAAGTCATGTACCCATCTCTTTTCCTATTAGCCATTAATCCCAACTCCACAGTGGAGTAAACCAGATCAAGCAACACATGGGATGTTCAATTTAGAAGGAATATGCAAGATTGGGAGCTACATGATGTATTTGACCTGCTGAGAAGATCAAATGGTTGTTCAGTTGATAGCCAATGCTCTGACAGATGCAGTTCCAAGGAGGGTATATACAGTGTAAAGGCGGGTAATCGCAGAATGAAGTTATTGATCTATGGCCCTGGAGGCTGGAAGTTAATTTGGAGAACAAAATTACCCCCAAGGTAAGTAGTTTCACTTGGACAGCACTGAAAGGGGCCATCCTTACTCAAGACAATCCATGTAGAAATTTTCAGTTTGTTGGATAAATTTTACATCTGCTAGTCAAGCTTAGAATCTATCAACCATCTTTTTTTGCACTGCCAGTCGCTGGAACATGTTCCTATCAGTTTTTGGTTTCAGTTGGGCACGACCCCAGAGTATCAAGGAGGCAGATGAAAGTTGGGAGCTTTTGGAAAGTCAGCAAAGCCATCAAGAACATCTGGCAAATGATCCTAAGTTGTATTTTTGGTGTGTGTGGACAGAATCGAATAGAAGGTGTTTTGATGGGATTTCAACTCCTAACTCAGTATTTAAGGCTAGGTGTCAGCTACAGCTTTTCCGTTAAAGTAATTATATGCTCCTGTAAATGATGTTGTTTCTTTTGTAGATCTCATTGGCTCTCTGAGCCTGGCTTAACAGCCTACTTTTGCTTTTGGTTAGCTCCTGACCTATAGAACTTTGTCTTTGAAGCTAACATCACTTCTGTATTCTTTGCATCTTCTTGAGGCCAGCAAACAACATTTTACTTCATTGAGAAAAAAGAGTTGGATTGAACTGACAACTCAGAAAAGGTTCAACTAACATAAGAGAAAATTGAATTTTTTGACTCCATTCGACTTGTGTGGGTCTATAAAAATTATAACTTCAATAAAAGATGGATGGTACAAGCTAAAATCTAAAGAATACTGAGTACAACACCAAGGTTTTCTCATACTCATGTCTTCTTATGGTTAACTTATTGCCTATTTACAGAATTCACATTCCTCAAGGTTTCTCAAACAAGTCGGAGATCACCCATCATAATCAAAGAACTAAATTTACCCATTTGAGGTACTAATTTAAAGCTTCACAGTGAAAACTTTTGTTAAGAATCTACAACCATGTATCAGATATTATTTGACCTCTAGGCTTTAACCATGTCATCCCCAAATTTATCTTCCATCAATGAAATGACACGGAAAGCTTCATTTATAGTTTCACAATTAGAATTGGCTTCATGTATCTGGAGAAACCACCATTCTGAGAAATCACTGTGTGGAGAGTTTGTCATGTCGATAGACATAAGAATCAGGATATCAAATGTATGGTACTTGGGTGTAACCTAACAGACAAAGAAATAGTTTAAAACCATGGGATAGAGACAAAAAAAACTAGGTAGTTTATCCCCACCCTCCTAAACATTTGCCAGCAGAGTTACGCGTTATTTGTGCTAGCAGGAGGTAGCAATTTTCTGATTGAATAATCTAAGTGCAGGCAAGCTATCCCAAACACCACTATCATGAAAAATGCTACTGAATAAGTAGTAGCATGTGAACTAGAACAACAAGCTAAAGTATTTCTGATAATTTACAGAACAGGCATATAAACTAATCATTCAGTTGAGGTTATCCCACTCCCACTTCTTCTTCAAGAACTAATAATTGCTACCTAAGAAACAATATAATAATATTTCTAGCATATACAGTTTCTTCATTATTTGAGAAATTAACTATAAACTTCTCAAACATAAAACCTTGTGAAAAAAAATAAAACCTAGAATCCTAATAATGTGAATTTATGAATTTCACCTAATAATACAATGATAAAGGTGCCATATTTTATGTACCTGATCAATATTTCACTTGAAAATCAGTTTTCACAAAACTGATAGGAAAAAACTCAAATCTAGATTACGTAACTTGGGAAGAAAATAAACAAAAAGCATTTTAAATCATAATAATAACTAGGTAGTATACAAAACCGATTTGGAGAGTTTCTTACAAGTGAATTCGCCGGAGAAAATGAGAGAAGCGAGTTCGCCGGAGATGGAGAGTCTAGAAAGTTCGCCGTGAGGGAGGAGATCGAGAATCGGAGGAAAATAACTATTAACATATTGGGCCGAAAATATATTGGACTTTGGGTTTTGTTATTAATTTTAGCCCATGAGTTTGAAACCCATAAGTCCATTTAGCATGAAATAACACCCAAACCCAATAACTTTAGGAGTGGATGACTCTCGAAATTTACAATAATTAATAACCCAACTTAAAACTTACTAGAAGATATATAAAAAATTGAATGACTCTCGAAATTCTATCAATGCCACATAAATTGAAACAGATGAAGTAGCATATATTATCTAAAAATTACGTAAAAAATATTATAAATCACAACAATTAATAATTTAAATATTTAAAAATCATATTAAAATATGATCGATTTTCAAAATTTCATCTATGTCACACAACGCGTGCTAGCACAAGCTTCAGTATCTAGTAAATCGCCAATCATATATGGGATATCAGTACAAGCCCAAAACAAAGTATCTCACAATACATGGATATTTGAACTTTGAAACTATTTGATATTTATTTTCAATTATCGATTACTGAATTTGAATTTTGAAAATACTAAATCAAATATCAATTACTCACTTCTATTTATACAAAATAAATGATAAAATAACAAAAAGGACAAAACTATGTTTATCTTTTTTCGTAACACTCATTCCTATTTTTGATATATGAAAAATAAATATTTTAAATAATATCTTGTATATTCAATTCTAGTCAATAAATCAAATCAAGAAATTAATCTCTATATTAATATAACCAAATCCTATATACTAATTATTCAATTCTAAGGTTCCACATTGTAATAAATTTCTTTAGAAAATGTCCATTTTCCCACTTTGCACGAAGTATACTCAACATGAACACTTTTACCAATTAAATGATGTTAAAAGTTGATGTGTTACCTTTTTATCTTTAAATAACCATATATTCTAGTTAGAGGAAAATGATTCTTGTTTTGGCCCAAATATTCCACTACTATCATTATGATATATGTCCATTAATTACACAACAATCCCATTTGTTTACACTTGAATTAGATAAACCATAAATCATATGATGCAAACTTGTGAAGCTAAGTAAATTTTTTATTATTAGAGAAAATTAGGACAACTCCCCTTATAACACGCAAACATATATATAAATGTTTCTACACTTTGAAGCCAAGTTTTGTCAAAAAGTCTCAACAAACTAATTAACAAGTCAATTCTTTCAATTCAATGCAAGCTGTAAAACCTATTTTTTCCACGAGTAAGAAAACTAGATTTTGTTCAAATTCTAATCCACTTCCAACTGTCAACCATTAGCTAACTTTTTTTTTGTTTTCCACCCGGTGTCCGGAGCCCACATTGGAGCTCCGACTAAATCCCGATCGCACAACAAGATTTTTGAGGGTGGCACTCCAACAAGATTTTCTCCATATCCAGGGCTCGAACTCGAGACATCGGTTAAGGATGAAGCACTCCCACCAATGCACCACAACTCACGTTGGTACCATTAGGTAACTTACTACAACTACAGTTATATTTCCCTATCAAATGGGATTTAAAGAATAAAAAAATGTTTTTTAATGAAAATTTTCATGTTTGAGATTCGAATTCAAAAATCTTATTCTTTCGTGACGAACCTTATTGGTGAAAAGAGAGAGAAAAAGAAGAAGTTACTTCCTGATTGATTCCCTCTATTCTCAAGCTCTTTTGGCTTTATAATATGTTCAGATTTTTGGACAATTTGTCTTCATCTTTATTTACCATTCGATTCAATTTATTTGTCTAATTTTAACTTACACATAATTTAAAAGAGTAAATAAGACATTTAAATCTTATAATCTTAAACTAAAACTGTACTTATAATATAGTAATATACCATAATATCGTTTAATTATTTAATTTTAAACATGTCATATAAAAAAAATAAAATTAAAGAGTTATCCAAAAAGAAACTAGACATGTTATAATCAATACAAGATTTATAGTTTTCCATTTTACTTGGCCCTAAATTGTTGCATGAATTGGCCACAACTTGTCATTCATCTTTTTTCATGTTCAAATGTTGGGTTTATGGGGTCCTTGGAATGTGTACCATAGCTAGCCCACATTCAACAAAGTGCACGACCAGCTAGCCAACAGAATCACAATCCCACTATGCTTTCATATATGTGTGTACTTAAAACCGTTTGAACATTGATTCTGATTAGCTTTATTGAAATCATTAGTAGGTCTGGTTTAAGAATTGCATAGATTGACGGATTTGAAGATTTGTTCATACAATAACAATAACATATTCAGTAGTTATTGAGTGAAGTCTCATAACTAAGGTCTAAAGAGAATAAAGTATATGCCGATCTTATCACTATCTCAGGGAGAAAGAAAGACTATTTTCAAAAGATCTTTTGCTTAAGTGTAGCAAATTAAATTCAAGTACAAAGAAGAATGAAACAATGTAGGGAACATAGCAACTACTAAAGCAAACAGTACAAAACCTACAAGGAAAAAAAATAAGAACAACAAAATAAGACGATAATTGAAACATAACAAACAACATATTTAAGAAAATTTACCATTCTCCCAATTGAGTTTCAACTATTGGTAAGACCGTTAAAACTAGTCAACTATTAGATGTACTCTTCATATCATTAGATTGTTAGGGGCTTAAATTAATGGACCAACATGAATTATGATGACTCAATATAAGCTATCCCCAACTTACTAGGAGTTTAGGCATTATAATTTTTGTTATATGGTATGTAACTTGGTATCTTATGCCTAAGAATATAATTGTGGCAGATATATTCAAGAATCCTAGCCCATAGATTTTAGTGACAGAAATTAAATATAGGCAAAAGTGTTTGTCATAACCCCAACAGATAAAATTGTGTCAGAGTCTGGCCTTTTGGCACTACACATCATTTGTAATTCAAATTTGAATGAATCAAAATAGCTGCATGTGAAAGACCCAAAAGAGTTTTGTTTGTGGTCCTTTTTTTGTTTTTAATTGCTCTTATAATAAGGTAAAAAAGAGTAGAAATTACCCACAAAATGGACCACATCTGTTAAGTCAAGTTCTCTCAAAATGAACCTACCATTTCAAAGTAGATTTTCAAAAAAATTATCAATATGTTTGACGTTATTGTGTTTTCGATTATCAATATTTTATTATTGTTAGTGCTTTTTTTAGACTTTGCACTTTTTTTTTTTAAGTAATAGCTATATTGTGTTTATTGTTTCTTTTTATTTTACTTGAATTTGATGTACTTGAATCGAGGGTTTTTCGGGAATAGTTTTTCTATCTCACGAGGTAGTGATAAGGTTTATGCAGTGACAGAACCACATATAGTTGAGGTGTGTCGACCGACACCCTTTCGTCAGCAAATTATTTTGTGTAGCTAGAATACAAATAATTTTTATGTATATATATTACATATTGACACTCCTGAGCTTCTACACGCTTTACTTCTTTATATTTTGACACATCTTAGTCGATATTCTGGCTCACCACTGGGTCTGCCTACACTATACGTCTATACCCTCTACAGACCCCATTGTGTGAAATTTCACCGAATTTATTATTGTTTTGTATCTTAACCTTCAAATATTTTTAAATATCCCAAAAACTATCCTATCAACTTTCCACCATTCATTCAAGAAATAGGATCACAACTTAAGCCTTGTTTCTTGCTCTTTCCCATCTTGCAAGTATATACAAGTTCAAATTTTTTGACATTGAACTTTGGTTTTAATATGTGAGTGACCACTTTTTTGGCCGAATTGCGTGATGACAATGACATTTCTTGTTTTATTGGCAAAAGTTCCAAAAGAAAAGAAAAAAAAATAAGTCACAGATCACATAACTTGTTTTCAACTTCAGGACTTTGCCTTTTTCCTGTGGTCTGAACATGGCTGCTTTCATAGGGCAATGCCAGTGTAAACTTTAGACTTACGAGTCGTTTAGCGTGAGATATAAGGTATAATAATCTCATAGATAAATTGCAGGATTATTTTATCTTGTATTTGGTTGGAGGTACTATGCAGTTTTGGGATTATTAGTCCTGCCATTTATACCTTAGTGATCGGATAAGCTATTCCATATACATGGTGGAATAACTTATCTCATGATAACTTATTTCGAGATAATTAAGTTTGAGATAACTTGTTTCCAACCAAACAACTCTTTAATATATAAGCATCTCGCTAAACTTTTTGAGATATTCCATTTAGACATTAAAACTGATCATTGTTTCGATTGAATATCTCAACTCCTAATAACTTGTTCTAGTTAGTCTCTTTCGGTTCATATTCTTGGAAATCTTTTGTGCGTGTTCTTATTTGCTTATTAGGTAATTAAGTTAATCAATACATACAAAATTCACCTCAATAAGCCATAAACCTCATACATTTTTCCTACTTGAAGTTGATGCACATAATTAAAAGATTTAATAACCAAATGAAAATACATGCAAAAATATTTTCAAAATTTAAATCAAAGGTGTCCATCGGAACACTTTATTAGGAATTGAAATATTCACCTACAACATGACTTAATTAGTGTGTTTATATACAAGTTTATGAGTCTGACTCACTAGTTATTAAGCCAAAAATTTACCTATGGCCTATCCTAATGCCCCCATGTGGCTTTCCTTTTCCTAATGGTACACTGAATTAACAAGAGAAACCTCCTACCACAAATGGTTAAGTGTTTCTTGGATTAAAGAAAGAGCATTTTTCTTTAAGGAATCAATTGAAAATGAAATGAAAGCAATTTGTCCTAATCTTAACCACGTTACCTGTTTTTATGGATAAATAGTTTCTAACAAGAATAATTAAGCAGTATTTAGCAAAATTAAAAATGTGTGGAACAGTCAAACATGTTAAAATGTTGTTTTGTTATGGTGTTTTCTGAGCAATATAATCACATAATATGATAGAATAGCTAAAGAAAACATTTCTGAAATCATATACTATCAAGAGAACTTATACTTTTTGCAAAATTATCTTACCCCATTATAACAAGTAGGACATCATAATGTG